TTTGCTCTGCATCTCGCGCTCAGTCTCCCAAGTAGCTTCTCCGACTGGCTGGCCTCTCCAATACACTTTCACTGAAGCTATGTTCTTGATCTCAAGTTTCGAACCTGCCGGTCCTAAATGGCCACCGGTTATACATCATAAATCAAATTACCATCCAACTGCACTGTACTGAAATCCAAAACATGAGACGGATCTTCGATATACTTTCGTAGCATAGATACATGAAATATTGGATGAATACCCGATAGACTAGGCGTCAATGCAAGTTCATAAGCCACATCTCCAACCTTCTTAGGTATTTCAAAAGGCCCAATATACCTAGGACTCAACTTGTCCTTTTTCCGAATCTTATAACACCCTTCATAGGTGAAACTCGGAGTAGTACCTTCTCTCCTACCATGTAAGCAGCATCGCGAACCTTCCGACCAGCATAACACATCTGTCTAGACTGCGCCGTGCGAAGTCGATCCTGAATCAATTTAACCTTTTCCAAAGCATTCTGAACCAAATCAGTACCCAATAGCCTAGCCTTACCCGGCTCAAACCAACCCACCGTAGATCAAATGAACTTGTGTACCTAATTCTCGCTGCACTGCTCTTAAAACCTGTGATGTAAATTGCGTGCCCCAATCTGAAATAATGGATCTTGGCATACTGTGTAGGAAAATAATCTCGCGGATATAAATCTCAGCCAACCGCTCCGAAGAATAAGTAGTACCAACTGGGATAAAATGCGCGAACTTGGTCAACCGATCCACAATCACCCAAATAGCATCAAACTTCCTCAAAGTCTGTGGGATTCCAACTACGAAGTCCATGGTAATATGCTCTCATTTCCATTCCGGAATTTCAAGTTTCTGAAGCAATCCGCCCAGCCTCTGATGCTCGTACCTCACCTGTTGAAAATGTAAACATCGAGCAACAAACCCAACTATATCTTTCTTCATTTTCTCCACCAATAGTACTGCATCAAGTCCTGGTATATCTTAGCAGCACCCGGATGCATGGAATACCGTGAATTATAGGCTTCTTCAAGAATCAATTCATGCAGCCCATCTACATATGGCACACAAATACAACCCTATATCCTCAACATCCCATCATCTACAATAGTAACATCTTTGGCATCACCGTGCTGAAATGTGTCCTTCAGGACAAGCAAATAGGATCATTGTACTGGCGCTCTCTGATGCGGTCATAAAAAGAAGACCGAGAAAGTATTCAAGCTAGAACTCGACTGGGCTCCGAAACATCCAATCTCACGAACTGATTAGCCAAGGTCTGAACATCAACTGCAAGAGGCCTTTCACCAACAGGAATGAATGCAAGGCTATCCATACTCACCACCTTCCTACTCAAGGCAGCGGCCACCACATTGCCCTTCCCGAGATGATACAGAATAGTAATATCTTAATCTTTGAGCAGTTCCAACCATCTCTGCTGCCTCAAATTTAGATCTTTCTATTTGGATAAGTGTTGAAGACTCCGATGATCTATAAATACCTCACGAGACACACCGTAGAGGTAGTGACACCAAATCTTTAATGCATGAACAATGGCTGCCAATTCTAAATCATAAACAAGAAAGTTCTTTTCGTGTGGCTTCAACTGGCACGAAGCATAAGCAATCACTCTACCCTTCTGCATTAAGACACACCCAATACCATCCGAGAAGAATCAGAATACACTGTATAAGAGCTTGAAGTTGAACGTAAAACTAGAACTGGAGATGTGGTCAAGGCACACTTGATATTCTGAAAGCTCTCTTCACACTCATACGACCACCTGAATGGAGCACATTTCTGGGTCAATTTAGTCAAAGGCGATGCAATAGACGAGAAGCCCTCCACAAAGCGACGATAATAACTAGCCAAGCTGAGAAAACTCCGAATCTCAGTAGCTGAAGATGGCCTGGGCCAACTCTAAACTGCCTCTATCTTCTTTGGGTCCACCTTAATTCCTTCTCTATACACTATGTGTCCCCAAGAATGCCATCGAACTAAGCCAGAACTCACACTTAGGGAATTTGGCATAAAATCTCTCCTCTCTCAGCCTCTATAATACAATACCCAAGTGTTGTGCATGCTTCTCTTAGCTACGTGAGTACACCAGGATATAATCAATAAATACTACGACAAATGAATCAATATATGGCTAGAATATACTGTTCATCAAGTGCATAAATGTTGCTGGGGCATTGGTCAGCCCAAAAGACATCACGAGAAATTCATAGTGACCATAACGAGTCTTGAATGCCATTATTAGAATATCCGAATCCCGAATTTTCAACTGGTGATACCCATATCTCAAATCATTTTTGGAGAATACCCTCGCTCCCAGAAGCTGGTCAAATAAATCATTTATACGCGGCAAAGGATACTTGTTCTTCATTGTAACTTATTTCAACTGCCTGTATTTGATACACATCTGCATAGTACAATCTTTGTTTTCACAAACAGAACTGGTTCACCCCAAGGTGACACACTAGGCCTAATAAGCTCTTTATCAAGAAGTTCCTGAAGTTGCTCTTTCAATTCTTTCAATTCATCTGGTGCCATACGATACGGAGGGATATAAATGGGCTGAGTGACCTATACCAAGTCAATACCAAAATAAATATCCATGTCGGGTAGTACACCCGGCAGATCTGCAGAAAATACATCCAAAAAGTCTCGCACTGCCGGTACAAAATCAATAGTAGGAGTGTCTGAATCAACATCTCTCACAAAAGCCAAATATGACAAACACCCCTTACCAACCATACGTTGGGCCTTCAAATAAGAAATTACCCTGCTGGGAACATAATCTAGAGAACCTCTCCATTCGACCTTTGGTAACCCCGGCATCGCCAACGTCATGATTTTTGCGTGACAGTCCAGAATAGCATAACATTGAGATAACCAATCTATACCCAAGATTACATCAAAATAAACCATACTAAGCAATAAGAGAACAACTTTAATCTCCAGTACCCCAATAGTTACCACACATGACTGATACACACGGTCCACAATAATAGTATTGCCCACCAGCTTAGATACACGAACAGGTGAAACTAAAGGCTCACGGGGCATATCCAGATAACGAACAAAATATGATGATACATATGAATATGTGGAAATGGGGTTAAATAATATAGAAGCTTCCATATGGAACATTGAGACAATACCTGTGATCACTACATCTGAAGCAACGACATCTGGCCTGGTAGGAATAGCATAAAATCGGGCTTGACCGCCACCTGATCGGCCTCCCCCTCTTGGGCGACCCCTAACTAACTGAGCCCCACCCCAAGCTGGCTAGGAGGGTGGTGAAGCAACTAGTGCTAAAGTCGTATCCTAACTCCTCTACTGAGTTGAACCTCATGTAAGGCGAGGGCAATATCTCTTTATGTGACCCAAATCTCCACACTGAAAGCAACCCCTCTCTGAAAATGTCGACAAGTTTTGAGGCGGACCTCGAGAACCAGAATAACTACCATAAGAACCTGGTACAGATGAACCCTGAACTGATGGTGCACGAGATGAACTCTAAGCTGGGAGTGAACTAAGAGAAGACTGATTCTGTCGATCATTGTATGAACCATGGCTAGCTGATGCGCCACGATGAGCTGGACGAGCCATCTGAGCGGGCCTATATGGTCGACCCCTATTATGATAGGGCTTTCCCCAGCAGGAACACCACTGGAATTACCGAGACCACGAGACCTCTTGGCCTCCATCTCCTCACGCTCCTGAGTACGGACCATCTCTAGCCGTCGAGTACTGTCAACCACCTCATTGAATTTAGCATCTGCTACATTCCCTAGAGTCATAACAAAATGGAACTGATGGTTAAGGCCATTAATGAACCTCCTGATCTTCTCCCTCTCAGTGGGAACCAACCAAATTGCATGACAAGCTAATTATGAAAACCGCATCTCATACTGGGTCACGGACAGGTCCTCCTGACGTAAATACTCAAACTACTTGCGTAGTTCCTCTCTGCGGGTCTGTGGCACGAACCTCTCCAGAAATAATATGGAGAACCCATGCCATGAAAGTGGTGTTGCACAAACTGGCCTGCTCCTCTCATAAGTCTCCTACCATCTGAAGGCTGCTCCGGTCAGCTGAAAAGTAGTAAATGAGACCCCACTGATCTCAAGAATACCCATTGTACAAAGCATCCACTGGCATCTGTACAAATATTCTTGAGCATCCTATGACTCAGTTCCACTGAAAGGTCGAGGATGGAGTCTCCCAAACCTCTCTAATCTCTTTTTCTCCTCGCCATTCATAATATGACCCACTTTGGCCTGAGTAGCTGCAACCGACTAGACTGGTAGTGTCCCCGGTATCTGAAGTCCCTTCACTACCTGCTCTAGAGTACGGGCGACGAGGGTATGAGTACTTTCCCCGGCCTGAGAAGTGGTTGGCGCGGCCTAAGCCGAAACCACTTGAGCAAGGCCAGTGCAAACTATCAATATCCGGGCCAAAGCCTCCTGAAGGCCTGGAATCACAATGGGCACAACTGGTGCCTGAGTTGGTCCTGTCGGCTCAGCTATATCTAGAATCTTCTCCTGAGCTAGAGCAACTACTGTTGCTACAGGTGCTGCTTCAACTGTGATACGAGCTACACCTAGACCTCTACCTCGGCCCCGGCCCCTACCCGGACCTCAACCACGACCCAAGTCTCTCGTGGCCTTAACTGATGGCACTGGTGGCTGACCGTCCAATCCGGTAGTACGTGTCCTCACCATCAGTGTGAGAATAGAATAACAGAAATTTTGTTTCCAGAATTAACAAATTCTCATGACAGAATACAAGAAAGTGAAATTTTCCTAAGGTTTCGGCAGCCTCTTGAAGATAAGTACAGATATCTCTGTAACGATCCGCAAGACTCTACTAAATCTGCTCATGACTCGTAAGACCTATGTAACCTATGCTCTAATACCAACTTGTCACGACCCAAAATATGCATGCCGTGATGGCGCCTATCTCAGTACTAAGCAAGCTGATAACTTCGTTAAACCACAATTTCTTTTAAGTTTGAAAAACATAAAATTTAAATTAAAGTGAAAATCCCACAAATTCAGATATAAATACACTCCCAAAACCCGATTTCACTAAGTAAATGAGCATCTAATAATAAAACCTGACTGATAAAAAGAGAGTCAAGGTTTGTGGACGCCAAGAAACTACCTTGATAGTCTCCAACAGATGAAACTCTGATATCTAGCAGCCGCCATTTCTGGAAGTACCTGGATCTGCACACGAGGTGCAGGGTGTAGTATGAGTACAGCCAACTAAATAAGTAACAAGACTAACCTTTGGGCTGAAAGTAGTGATGATCTCAACAGGTACAGTCCTATATAGAAATAACCGTACAGAAATGTAGGCATGCTTTCAAGTTCAACAGTTAAACTCAATACAAGTAAAATAGATCAATTCTGAATTATATGAGGAATATGACATCTCTGTATCTACATGCCAATGTACGTATTGTATGTGATGCACCTCAGTGAAAATCTCGCATACTCAAAATCTCAAGATACTTAATCACTCAGTATTGTATATGGCCAATCCAACTCAAGGAAGATTCATCCCATATATATATATATATATGTGTGTGTGTGTGTGTATATATATATATATATATATATATATATATATATATACACACACACACATATACACACATTCACGTGAACTGCCAGTCAGTCACTCAATACTATATAAGGCCAATCCAACCCAAGTGAAGCTCATCCCTAAATGTAAATGATTCGGACAAGATCCATGTCCAGGGAAGATCCATCCTTCAGTATAAATGCTTCGGGAAAGATCCATGCCCAAGGAAAATCCATCCCTCAATATAAATCAACAACGCTCACTGTGGGGGGGTGCCGACTCCGGAGAGGCTCCTTCAGCCCAAGCGCTATAATAGCCAGATCCAAGCATAAACAAATAAAGCATGATGCGGCGTGCAGCCCGATCCCATAATTATCACTCAAAATCTCCAGTCTCTCGGGCTCTCAATGACATGAAAATCAACTCGACGTGATGATATGATGTATCAATGAATGACAACAGAGACTGAGATATGATATGCGAATGATAGATGGGACTGAGTACATAATTATAAATTTAAACAATTAATTCAACAACAACACAATCTTGTGGGTCCTAAAATATCGGCACGTAGCCTAAGCAAGATCTTCAACACGAGCCTCAGCTCAATTTCCTCTAACACGTGGAGGATTTGTGGAAAATGACACTATTCTTTAATTGTACAACTCCACAGAATTTATTTAAGTCACTATTTCTACGGTGCACGTCCACACGCCCGTCACCTAGCATGTGTGTCACCTCCATACAATTCATATAACACGTAATTCAGAGATTTATACCTTAAGAACCAAGTTTAGAAGTATTACTTACCTCAAACCGTGTAATTCTTTACTCCAATATGCCTTTGCCTCGCGAAATGGCCTCCTAAAGCCTAGTATCTAGTCACAATTAATTTGATTCAGTCAATACAAATTATAAGAATTAATTCCATATGAAAATACTAATTTTCTAACAAAATTAGAAATTTAACTCAAAAATTACACTTGAGACCCACGTCTCGGAACCCGACAAAAGTTATAAAATATGAACGCCCATTCAACTATGAGTCATACCATACCAATTTTACCAAATTCCGACATCAACTCGACCCTCAAATCTTCAATCTAAACTTAAGGGTTTTCATAATTTTTTCAACTTAAAACACCATTTAAATGTTAAAAATAGCAATAGGTTCGGGTAATTTGACCAAAATTAAATTAAGAACACTTACCACATTGTTTACCTTAAAAATCTCCCGAACATCGCCTCTCCCCGAGCTCCAAATCATTAAAAATAGAAAATGGGACGTTCTGCTGACCAGTTATTTCCTCTATGCGATCGCGGATCAAGTCCCGCGATCGCGAAGCACCCACTTTCCACTGCCCAACTTAACCTTACGCGATCTCGGATAAGTGCACGCGATCGCGAAGTTTCAGCTCCACAAACCTACGCGATCGTGAACTTGTCCACGCGATCCTGAAGTGTAAGTTTGTGTGACCCCCTGCTGCCTCACTTCCTCTATGCGAACACGACTTTCCTCACGTGTTCGTGATGCGTGAGTTTCTCCAGCTACGCGATCGCAGCCCAATCTATGCGATCGCATACAAGAAATTTTTAAGAAGTCCCAATTAAGCCTACGAGATCGCAAACCTTCTCACGCAATCGCGTAGAAGGAAACCAGACCTCTATACTAGAAAACTTCAGCAAAACACCAAGTCCAAAATTCAATCTGTTAACCATCCGAAATTTACCCGAGGCCCTCGGGACCTCAACCAAATACACCAACAAGTCCTAAAATATCATACGAACTTAGTCGAAATCTCAAATTACATCAAATAATGCTATAAACGCGAATCATACCCCAATTCAAGCCAAATGAACTAGGAAACTCAACCTTCTACATTCGATGCCGAAACCTATCAAATCAAGTCCGATCGACCTCAAATTTTGCACACAAGTCATAAATGACATAACGGACCTATTTCAATTTTCTGAATCGAATTCCGACCCCGATATCAAAAGGTCAACTCCCCGGTTAAACTTCCAAACTTAAATATCTATTTTACCCATTTCAAGCCTAATTTAACTACGGACTTTTAAATAATTTTTCGGATACGTTCCTAAGTCCAAAATCACCATACAGAGCTATTTGAATCATCAAAACTCTATTCCGGGATCGTTTACACATAAGTCAACATCCTGTCAACTATTTCAACTTAAGCTTTAAACCTTGAAACTAAGTGTTTCAATTCATTCCAAAATCTCACCGGACCCGAACCAATTACTCAGGTAAGTCACATAATAATTGTAAAGCACAAATTAAGTAGTAAATGAGGGAACATGATTGTAATACTCAAAACGACTGGCCAGGTCGTTACATAAACCGAAAAAAATATCAAACCGTATCGAATAAATTTTACATGTGGAAAATATATTTATATAGTAAGTTTAAAAATAATGATGCATTAAATTTTTCTTTGGGCCTTGGAATTATGAAAACTGTTACAAGCCAACAAGTAATTAAACATAAAATACTAACTCCTAAAACCTATTATGCTACGTCTACTTAAACTAAATTATTTCAAGTATCTTCATTAGCAAGACACAAAGTATTCTAGCGATTATGAGTAGCAAACTACAATGTATTGAATATGTTTCCTTTCATATAGTTTAGATTTATCTTTTTGAATATTTAATCTTATATAGACTTTATTCTTGAGTCCCAGCTTGGCTAATATCTTTCCACTCGTGTGCTTTATATTTTATTTCTGCCTTTGCTTGGTTTCTTTTACGTTGTTGTAGAATAGTTGATGGATCTATACTCTAGCCATCTTTCATTTTTTAATTTATCACCCTTTAAACAGTAAAAATGTATAGAGAGTTTTGCAAAGTTATATAAAAGAACATATGCTATTGCATTCTACTTATACTAGCGAATTTTATATGATATTTTAAAAAATACTGAAAATTAAGTGAACCGTACCTATACCGGAGAGAAACCGGCATGATTGGGACGGTTTCGAAAAGTCTAATTTGGTTATACATAATAGAATAATCGAAAAATTGGTATGGTACAAATTTTATAAAATAACCGGCCGAACCGAACTGAACTATTGACACCCCTAAATTCTTATCCATTGAAACGACTAACAAAGAGTTCTTTGGATTAGCTAATAAAAGTAGCTTTCAAGTATTTGGGAGCTGAATTTAAAAAGAAACAGTTACTTGTTTGGCCAGAAGTACTGAAACGTAAAATAAGTAGTTGCTGTGTTTGATAAAATAAATGCTGATAAGCACTTTTTATGTTAAAAAGACTGAAATATCTTTCAAACTGTTAACACTACAAAGGAGTTTGTTCTAAATTAATTTAGACACAAATTTTTGGTTGATTAATATTGACACGTTATTTTCTTGGTGTTCCTTCTATTTCTTATAATTTCATTGGTGAAATGGTGAGAAATACTCCTCTACTATATGAAAAGAATTATATATGTTCTTTGTTATATTTTCGGTTCACTGTTACCCTCGACGTTATATAATTGATGCTAAAATACCCCTCTTCCTTTAGGGCACTTCATTGTGACAACAACATTCACTTGGTATGATATTTCGCTGAGATGGACGCTACATAGAATATCACCTTATCACCGCCTCCAATTCAGTTTTACCCCTTTGTTATCTCAACCCGCTATCTAAGATAAATCTGACGAGTTTGACTTTTAAAATATCTTTATCAAAATCATATCCAGCCTTCAATGATTGAAACAGCATTAACGGTAACCACATCAAATCATGAGAAGTGAAGTAAATATTTGACATAAAGTTATCAAGTTTCACTAAGGCATATTCACAATTACCTTGAACGTTGGGGCTCCGGCGATCCATCTTACACTTCTAGGAGAATCCCGTAAGCATCAGTAAAAGGAGTTGGGGAGAGGTAGAATATAATTTGAAGTGGCGATGAGGTGGCATGCCACGTGGTGTTCATCTCAGTGAAATATCAGACCGTGTGGATGTTGTTGGCCACAGTGGAGTGCTCTAGCGGAGGAGAGGTATTTTGTATCAGTTTTGTAATGACGAAGGTAATAGTGAACCGAAATTATAACAGAGGACAAAAATGATCCTTGTCGCATAAACTTTTTCCAATTTTATTTTCAGGTGACTTTCTCTGGATAATGTAGGAAAAACTGAGAAAATGAATGTATGAAAATTTTCTGTCTATTATTTACGTTGGCACGGTGCATTTATTTATACAAGATATGGCTGAAAGAATAAAATTCCTACTCTATACGTGGCTATTTCACATTTGATTTCCTATAACAGAGTGTACTAATTTGTACAGCTATACATATACAAAGAAAACTATGTAACGTGTAATTGCAAATTTGTAGCTGTATTCCAGTTGTCTTGCAATAAACATAGATGGTCAGATAAGGTTCCAACACAGCTTGGTTGGACGTCAGAGATTGCGCCACCTGTCCCGTGTATAAGCTTGGATAAAATAAGAGATACACAAGCGTGTATCACTCAATTTTGACCTCTTCCGCCTAACTGAACTTTGAGAGGCATCTGCTTCTTTTTTTCTTTCTTCGTATCCTCTTGGTTCTTCAAATCTTCATTTTGGTTTAATAATTTTGTGGTAACAGAATTAGACATAATGGAATTATGTGATGAACTATGATTGCCAACACCCTCCCTCAAGATGGAGGGGAGAGAAACAACACCTAACTTGCTGAGGATTGATGAATTAGAAGGCCCAGAAAGGTGTTTTATGAATAGATCGGCTAATTGGGAAGAAGAAGGAATAAAAGTGAGAGATATGATGCCATAAAGAAATTGTTGGCGTACAAAATGACAATCTAGCGCGACATGTTTAGTTCTTTCGTGAAAGATGGGATTGCGAGCAATATGTATCGCCGCTTGGCTATAGGAGTGAAGAGAAATAGGAAGTGACAGGCTGATGGAAAGATCTTCACGGAGCTGAATTAACCATGTGATTTCAGCTACAACTCTTCGCATGGATCGATACTCGGCCTCCGCTGAAGATAATGAAATTGATGCTTGTTTCTTAGATTTCCATGAAATTGGAGATCCCCCTAGACTGAGAAAGTACCCAGAGAGTCTAGGCAAGAACCCCAATCGGCATCGCAAAAGGCAAGTAGAGTGAGAGATGGATCTGTTCTCATAAAGAGACCTTGACCTGGGTTATTTTGTAGATAACTAAGAACACGAATTGAAGCAGTGGAGTGAGGAAGACGAGGATCCTGCATATATTGGCTAAGATATTGCATTGTGTATGAAATATCTGGCCTTGTATGAGTCAGGTAATTAAGCTTTCCAAGAAGACGTCGATAGACAGTAGGATCCGAAAGAGGCTCATCAGAATCAGCACTGAGTTTGCACGAGGGATCCAAAGGAGAAGATACTGAAGATAAATGATCACACTTGAACTCAGCAAGGAGTGGTAGTTTTGAGAATTTACGCTCCTTTCAACTATTTGAAGCCTTGAATAACTTACTACGAGGTATTATGACTTATGTATAAACAATCTCGGAGAATTTTTGCTAAGGAAATTAAGATTTTGTAGTGCCGAGGTGGATCAATTGGTAAAGAAAAATTTTTGCCGGAAAAAGTTTATTTCTGCGACCCACTATGCGGTCGCAGAATCACTCTGCGGACCGTATAATGGCCGCAGAGTGAATCAGGAGTGGGGCAACTGTGGAGGAAAGTTTGCGGTGCATTATGCGACCGCAGAACAGGTATGCGGATCGCATAACGACCACAGACTGAGGCAGCCTTGCCCAGTTCTGGAGGCCATATTTCGCGGTCATTTCGCGAGCCGCAGAAGCGTTATGCGGTCGCATATGCGACCGCACAATGTGTTTCGGGAATTTATTGTTCTGGTTTTATAAACCCGACCCCATTCCTATAAAATAATATTGGGGGTCATTTTGAAGGGTTTTATCTGATATTTTAGAGAGAGGTGAGAGCATTTTTGAGAGAGAAAGTGAAGACTTAGTCATTTATCCATTAATTCTTGTTCAAAATTTAAAGATTTCACAAGGATCTTGCTAGGGTTTCAAATTCTCCAATTCTTCAATTTCAGGTTTGGGGTAAACGATGGGTGATTAAGAGTATGATTCTTGGGTGTGAGAGTATTATTTATACATACACATACCAATAAGGTTTGTGGAAAGATTATTGAGTTAAAATGGGTAAAGATTGAGTTGAAAATGGTAGAAATCTTCAAAGACTTTAACTTAAGATTTGAGGGTCGAGTTAATGTCGAAATTTGGTGAAATTTATATGGTTGGACTCGTGGTTGGATGGGCGTTCATATTTTATAACTTTTTTTGGATTCCGAGATGTGGGCCCCACGGGAGATTTTTGAGTTAATTTCAGATTTTTATTGAAAAATTAGTATTTTCTTATGGAATTAATTCCAATAATTTGTATTGGCTGAATCAAACTAATTCTGGCTAGATACGAGGCTTTCGAAGACCAATTCATGAGATAAGGGCATAGCAGAGTGAGAAATTACACGGTTTGAGGTAAGTAACACTTCTAAACTTGGTTCTGAGGGTATAATTCAGTGAATTACATGTTGTATGAATTGTTTGGAGATAACGCACACACTAGGTGACGGGCGTGTGAGCGTGCATCTTAGGAATTGTGACTTAATTGATTATATGGAGTTGCATAATTAAATAAATGTCATTATCTGCACATCCTCCACGTGTTAGAGAAATTGAGCTGAGACTCATGTTAAAGATCATGATTTGCCTACGCGCCGATATATTTTGGGATCCACATGGGTCATTTTGTTATTGAACTATTTGTTAAAATTTATAATATTGTACACAGTCATATCTATCACTTGCATATCATATCTCAGTATCTGTTGTCATTCATTGATACTTCATATAATCATGTCGGGTTGATTTTTTATGTCATTGAGACCCCGAGAAACTGGAGATTCTGAGTGATAGTTATATTTATTTATTATGCCTAGATATGGCTATTATAACGCTTGGGCTGAAGGAGCCCCTCCGGAGTCTGCANATTTTTTATTAATAATAAGAACAAAATACAAAATATTTTCAGGAGGTCTCACAAAGTGAAGAAAACTAAAGCATGAAATTACATCAATCCTATTACCAAAGTTGAGCATCACACTAAACATTGGTAGTATATAATGCGCTAACACGACTTGCATAAGAAGAACCAAGCGTAACCAACTGTTTGTATTGTGCATGATCATCCCAAGAGAGCCCCATATGCTGGAAAATTGCATAAATGATATTGAACTTGAGTGCTGCAAATCCAAGCTGATTAACTACTTCAAATGGTGCCTAGGGTTAGATTTCACTATATATATATATATATATATATATATATATATTTGGGATGGATCTTCCCTGGGTTGGATTGGCCATATATAGTACTGAGTGATTGAGTATTTTAGATCGCGAGTATACAGAGTTTTCACTAAGGTGCATCACATACAGTATGTACATTGGCATGTACTTGTGCTTCGCGAACGCGAGGGACCTGTCACGTTTGCGAAGAAGAGAGGTCTGGACAGAAAGTTTAAGTTTTGACCCATTTTTTCATTTTTGACGGATTGAAGCTCGGGAAGAGGCAATTTTTGGGAGATTTTCAAGGAATACAACGAAGTAAGTGTTCTTAACTCATTATTGGTCAAATTACCCGAATCCATAGTTGTTTTAACATTTAATGGGTGAATTAAGTTGGAAAGATTAGAAAATCCTCTTGGTTTAATTTGAAGATTTGAGGGTCGAGTTGATGTTGGATTAAGTAAAATTGTTACGGTTAGACTCGTGGTTGAATGGGCTTTCGAATTTTGTAACTTTTATCGGATTCCGAGACGTGGGCCCCACGTGCGATTTTTGAGTTAAATTTTGGATTTTTATGGAAAAATTATATTTTCATATGGAGTTAATTCCAATAAAAGTTATTGACTGAATCGAATTATTTATGGCTAGATTCGAGGCATTTGGAGGCCAATTCACGAGGCAAAGACCTAGCGGAATAAAGAATTTCACGGTTTGAGGTAAGTAACCGTTCTAAATTTGGTCTTTAGGGTATGAAACCCCGGAATATGTATTATGTGATTCGTTTTGAGGTGACGCACATGCTAGGTGACGGGCATGTGGGTGTACACCATAGAAATTATGACTTGGTCAATTCCATGGAACTGTGTAGTTGAAAAATCTGTTGATATCCGTAGATTTTTCCCCGTATTAGAGAAATTGATCTATGAATCATGTTTAAATCATATGTTTACACTGTTGCTAAATTACTGTTTTGCACTCACTCACAGTTCTATTTGCACATTTTTACCTCAGTCTCTCTTATTCATTATTGATGCATCATATCATTGTTGTTGGGCTGCTTATCATGATTTCTGAGAGCCCAAGAGACTGGAGAGATTGATGATTGAGTGAGGCCGAGGGCTTAATTATGAGGATATTTATGGATCGGGCTGCATGCCATAACATGTTCATTGATTTATGCCATGGTTGGCTTGATATAGCGCTTGGGCTGAAGGATCCCCTCCGGAGTCTGTACACACCCCCAGTGAGCGCAGGTACCTACTGAGTGCGAGTGTCGAGTGCCGAGTGATGAGTGATTGTGAGGAAAGAGTGACTGTGAGGTTGGAGTGAATGGGAGGACTGAGTGACTGTTACTCTGAGAGGATGCATTGATTTCATTATTTGCTGCATTCCAGCTGTCATATATCACTATTTTGAAAATTTCGGAAAAGAAAAATATTATTTTTGGTTTCGGTAAAACTTGATATGAAATTTCAGTGAAATCTTAAATGTCGAATTTGAGAGCATGCTTACTCTTTAATATTGGAAAGTATTGTATTTGGACCTAGCTGAGAAGTTCGTCACTACTTTCAGTTCCTTATTTATTATTATTACTTACTGAGTTGGTTGTACTCATACTACACCCTGCACTTCGTGTGCAGATCGAGGTAATCTCGGATACAGTGAGTGTTGATTCTTTCGTACAATCGATTTTTCAGAGATTTAGAGGTAGCTGTTTCGCAGACCTTGTCTCTCCTTCCCTATCCCTTTGTTATTGTATTTGGTCTCAGATTATTATTATATACCAGATTTTTCCCAGACTTGTAATGTATAGATGCTCATGTACTTAGTGACACCAGATTTTTGGAATATGTTTTACCTAGTATTTGTGGAATTTTCACTTAAGCTTAAATTATGATGTTTTCCGTATTTAAAAGATATTGTGGGTTATTAACGATGTCGGCTTTCCTAGTATTGAGATAGGCGCCATCATTACGGGTGTGATTTTTGGGTCATGACAAGTTGGTATCAGAGCCTAAGTTACNAAAGTACTGAGTATGTGAGGCAAGAAAGCATAAGTAAGAACAGTAATGTAAACAGGGATAGAGAGATGTCATATTCCTCACATTGTTCAGAATTGGTCTATTTATTTGTACTGAGAGTAACTGTTGAACTTGAAAGAATGCCTATATTTCTATATTGTTATTTCTATACTGGATTGTACTTGCTGAGCTCGTCACCACTTTCAGCCCAAAGGTTAGTCTTGTTACTTATTGAGTTGGTTGTACTCACACTACACTCTGTATCTCGTATGCAGATCCAGGTGCTCCCGGATACGGTGGGTTGCTAGATTTCGGAATTTATTCTATGGAGATAATCAAGGTAGCTACTTGGCGTTCGCAGACTTTGAATCCCTTCCTTTTTAGTTATTGTACTGTTCTATATTTTCAGACAGTAATTTTATCAGTCAGACCTTGTATTCATTTAGATGCTCATATACTCAGTGACACCGGATTTTGGGAGTGTTTATATATGTATTTGTGAGTTTTTTCCCGCTAAATTTAGATATTATAATTTCAAACAAAAAAGATATAGTGGTTTATTGAGATTGTCGGTTTGCCTAGTATTGAGAAAGGCGTCATCACGACAGGTGAGATTTCGGGTCGTGACAGATTTGCATCTAAAATGATGAAGAGTCTCCAGGAAATTGAGAGTTAACATAGACCTCTATCTGCTTTTCATCTTGCATGAGTAAAGCGTAAGCATGTCCAATACTAGGCAGAGGTAATAACATCAGAATATTACTCTTAACAGAGGCATAAGTTTCATTCAAGCCCTCGAGGAACTTGACGATTCTCTCATCTTGGAGTGACTTAGCCACCTTAGCTTTACCTCCACAGTCACATGCACAAGCACAATTTACATTAGTGTTCAAGGTATCTAATTCATCCCACAACCTTTTAATTTTAGTAAAATATCCTGCTATGTCTGAAGATCTCTACACTAAGTCACTCAATTCCTTTTGTAAATGATACAACTTTGCACCATTTAATTGCCCAAATCTGTCCTCTAAATCCTCCCACAGATCTTTGGTTGTCTTAGAGTAGATGACACTGTCAGCAATGTTCTTTGAAAGAGAGTTTAGCAACCAAGAAATGACCATGTCATTACACCTATTCCAAAGCTTGTAATCAGAAGGTTCTGATTCAGGAGCAAGACAAGTTCCATCAATAAATCCCAATTTATTTTTGGCAGATAGAGCTATGAGGATGGACCTACGCCATCCACCGTATCATTTGCCATCAAAAGATGAGTTCACCAAGGTCAAACCAGGTGAATCAAAGGGGTGAAGAAAAAATGGGTGAGAAGAGTCTGGTACTACATTTCCAGTATTCTTTGAAGAGTCCGGTATTGTATTACCAATGCTCCCAGAGGTGATTTCAGAGGTGTTAACCATTGATAACAAAAGATATGAACAAGAATGAACAAAAACAGTAAAAAATGAGGATCTTTAGAGATGCTCAGGTACCATGTAGAAAAGACTGAGAAAATGAATGTATGAAAATTTTCTGTCTATTATTTATGTTGGCAATGTGCATGTATTTATACAAGATATGGCTGAAAGAATAAAATTCCTACTCTGTACGTGGCTATTTCACATTTGATTTCCTATAACAGAGTGTACTAGTTTGTACAACTATACATATATAAACAAAACTATGTAACGGGTAATTGCAAATTTGTAGCTGTGTTCCAATTGTCTTGCAATAAACATGGATGGTCAGATAAGATTATGTCACGACCCAATTTTCCCTCTGATAGGTATAGTAATGGCACCTAGTCTTAGGGACTAAGTAAGCCTAATATTTATTAAATAACAACAATAACTAGATAACATCTAACAATTTGTTTTAAATGGAAACCTCTATAAAATTTACAATTCTCAAAACCGGTAGTACAAGTCATAAGCTCTACAGAGTTTGCTACAATTTTCTAAATACAACTATTTGAAATTAAGTAAACAGTATGAATACGAATCAGAAGGTGACTCCGAAGCCTGCGAACGTGGCAGCAGGTTTACCTTGAGTCTCCACAGCAACAATCCGAACACTAGCTAATGATCAACTGACTTCGAAATACCTGGATCTGCACAAAAATATGTCAAAGTGTAGTATGAGTACACCACGGCGGTACCCAACAAGTATCAAGACTAACCTCAGTGGAGTAATGATGACCAACAGTCAAGACACCTACTGGACTAAATAACATAAACAAGTGTAAGTATAGAAACAACAGAGTATGATATCTACATAAAGATTACGTGAAGTGGCAATTAATACGGTAAATTTCAGTAAGAAAGGGATACAACAACTATCAGCGGAACATCATCATAATGACATAGAAGAACGAACGGAAATACAGCTTAAATCCGATGAACACAATTAAAAGAAAGGCAGGTAGCAACTAGATGAAAACAACCACTTTCACACCAAGTTTTTAGTCAATAAACTCCACGAGGTACCGAACCTCATACTATTCACAACTCACAGGTCCCATTATCTGAACCCTAACACTTGGCATCCTGTGCCCTCATTACACTTAATAACTGCATTGACGACTCACGTGCCAAATAGAGCCATTCTCACATAGAAGGTAAGTAAATAAGGGTGTGCAACTATACTCAGCAGTATCAAGAAAAACTTCTTAACCGATAAGAGTACACTACGCGTATGCTTGTGCGAGTATCCTAACATGGTTTATGCCAGCTAGTAAGTATACCAAAAGAAATGGACAGCACGCAAAATATTTTCACACAACTTTTCACAAGATAAAGCTCACATATGTAAGTGTACCACTACACAACATCAACAACAAAAATTTTCCCAGGCCATCACAAGTCATCACAAATCAATCCCTCACGTATCCCACCTTGTCTCGCCATGTGTGCAATAGTAAAGTAAGTGCCCGTCTTGACTAGCCACACGTGCATATGTAACAACGGTCCCACAAAGTACAAATCAACAACGAGGGAGATATCACGAGTCAATAATTCCAATAAGGGTAAGTCAACTAAGATATAGGATACCTAAACTTCATTTAAAGTTGAGCAATCACGAAAGAAATACTACAAATTCAATTAAGGATAGGCAGCGGGAAGATAATCATAACCTCAATTAAGGATGAACAATTACAAAAGAGATAATATAACTTCAAATAAAGATAAGCAGTTAGGGAAAAGATAATATGTCAATAGAAGAGATAACAATTTCAGTTAGGGCACATATGAATCAAATGAGAAACAAAATGGATCATGAAGCAATTAATTCTAATTAAAGCAGGTAGAAGTGAAATTGGTAATTAAGAAAACGTAATCATAACGAGAACAACTACATATTCAGTGAATACAAGGACCTAAGAACCCTAAAAGGTTAATTTTTCACAAATAAGTCTGAGCACGTACTCGTCACTTCGCGCACACGGACTACAATTGGCATAGAAGACTCAAATCCTAAGGGGTAGCTCCCCCACACGAAGTTAGGCAAGATATTTACCTCAAAGAAGACAGACTGATACTCTAAAATAAACTTCTCGAGTGAAATGACCTCCGGACGGCTCAAATCTAACCAAAATAATTTCTAAGCACAAATAAAACTCATAAGGAACTATTCTGGATCATAAAGCCTCAATCTTTATAAAAATCTAAAAATCGACACAAAAGTTGACCCCCAGGCCTGCACCTCGAAACCCGACAAATTTCACAAAACCGAAACACCCATTCCGATACGAATTCAACCATACTAAAATTATCAAATTCCGATACGATTTCGTCCTTCAAATCATGATTTTTCATTTTGAAATATTTCTTCAAAACCTCCATTTTCCTCAACTAAAAATATAAATTAAATGATATAAATAAAGATAAAATCATGAAATATAATAAATTCTAGGTGAAGAACACTTACCCAATCGATTTGCTTGAAAAATCCTCAAAGAAGCTCCAAAAACGGAGGTCTAAAACTCAAAATATGAAGAAAATGGCCAAACCCTCGATTTATTATGATTCTGCCCAGGTATGACCGCACCTGTGGACCATCAAGCGCATCTGCGCTATCGCATTTGCGGGCAGACATTCATATTTGCGAACTTAACTTACCAGGCCCAGGTCCGCATCTGCGGACAACATAGCCGCACCAACGGCGCCGCAGAAGCGATGACAGGAGCGCAGAAGCAGACTCCTTCGCAGATGCGATCACTCAACCCCAAAAGCGGCCTTTGTACCTGCGTGCCAGCATAAGCAGAAGCGGGCTAGCTCACAGACTTCAACGATCGCAGAAGCGACCAAGCTCACGCAAAAGCAGAGCCGCACCTGCGCTCCAAAGTATCGCAGATGCGAAAACACCAGAACAAGCCTGTTCAAAACTATAAAAATCATCTGAAACTCGTCCGAAACACACCTGGGGTCCCCGGGACCCCGTCCAAGCATGCCAACAAGTTCCATAACCTAACACGGACTCGCTCGAGGTCTCAAATCACATCAAACAACGTCGAAACTATGAATCGCACCGTGAATCGAACTTATGAACTTTCAAATCTTTCAACTTTTAAAACACGTGCCGAAACTTATCAAATCAACCCGGAATGACGTCAAATTTTACATGCACGTCATATTCAATATTACGGACCTACTCCAACTTTCGGAACCGGAATCCGACCCCGATATCAAAAGTTCACTTCCGGTCAAAACCTCTAAAAAATCGACTTTCGCCTTTTCAAGCCTAAATCAGCTACAGATCTCAAATTCACAGTCCGGACACGCTCCTAAGTCCAAAATCACCCAACGGAGCTAACAGAATCGACGGAACTCCATTCCGGAGTCGTCTTCACACAGTTCCGACTACGGTCAAAATTCTAAGACTTAAGCTTCCGTTTTAGGGATTAAGTGTCCCAAATCACTCTGAATCATCCGGTAACTGAATCCAACCACGCACGCAAGTCAATACACATAATACAAAGTTGTTCAGGACCTTATGACGTCGAACGGGACTTAAATTTTCAAAACGATCGGCCGGGTCGTTACAGGTTCCAACACAGTTTGGTTGGACGTTAGAGATTGCGCCACCTGTCCCATGTATAAGGTTGGATAAAATAAGAGATACACAAGCGTGTATCACTCTATTTTGACTTCTTCCACCTAACTAAACTCTAAGAGGCATCTGCTTCTTTTCTTCTTTCTTCGTATCCTCTTGGTTCTTCAAATCTTCATTTTGGTTTAATAATTTTGTGGTAACAGAATTAGACATAATAAAATTATGTGATGAACTGTGATTGCCAACAGATAAGAAATAAGATGAACATGGTAGGCAGGAATACTCAATTTCATATTAGTACACGTGAGCTTCCCTTTTTAGTTTTTCCATTTTTATCGGAAAAAGTAATATCAGTATTTTCTTTTGATGATATACCAACTCACTAAAAATAGATTGCACAAAATAAATTCTAAAGATGAAAAAAAATTGAAGAACGGAGAATTGAGAGAGGCCAGATAAAGATGGAGACATGGAAGAAGAATGTCCATGGTGGAGTAAAGAAAAGAAGAGAAAAGAAATATTGTGAGAATTGATTTGAAGGTATTTTTGGAATTATAAAAACTTATAAGGGATATAATAATAAAATGCTCAGTCAAACATGGATAACTTTTAAACTAAAAAGCAGTAAGTTGTTATTGTCAAACTTATAGCTTTTGGCTTATTTTAAGTACTGATAATTTATTTTAACAACTTTCTCAACAGGGAGCTCGGCGAATTTTGTGGCCTAAAGCCAAATTATATGAGGAGCCTCGACTATTTGTGAAACAAAAAAAATATTATTTTTTTATTTGAAATCTATTTTTCTAGCTTTTTTTAGATTTAGAAACTCTTATAATCAATTTCTCCTAATAAGTCTTTCTCAATTGACCATATAGTTAATTCATTTAACCGCTCTTGATACGTTATTAATCTTAGGTAAGATTTTATCAGTTTTAATTTTGAAAAACTTTTTTCCGCTGAAACAACAATAACAAAAGTTATAAACTTTATTTTATAAGCAATATAAGCATTTGAAAAGAAACAAATCTTTTTATTTGATTGAGTATATCAATTAAATTGTTATCTTCTAATTGTACTATTTTCCTTAACAGTTAATTCAGAAAATAAATCTAAACCATCAATATCAGATTGATTATTATGCTTTAAGGAACCATGCAAGATTAAGACAAATTTTGTCAAAATTCCATCTTCTGGTGATTTCAGTTTTTTACCGCTAAATAGAAAATCAAAAATATTTTCATATGCTTCGAATTGTTCAGATCTATTTTAAAGTGAAAAAATAGCTTTATCTACTATGTATAAAAAGTAATAAATTCTAAAAGAATTTTCGAGAGATTATGAGATTTCATTATCAACATTCTCATCAAAT